TGAACCTTGGGCAAGTATTATAATTCAAAAAATTAAAAATGAATAAATAAAATGTAAAAGCAAAAAAATTAAACATTTAAAAAGAATCCTATTGTGATACATATATCTATTTTTATATCACATTTGACTGTACAAAGCTAAATAGAGGTCACGGATTTTCAATATACTACAGGAAAAAAGGTCTTTACATTAACATTGCAAATTGGGGGAAGGAGAAATTTTAAAGATACTCATTCCTTTTCATCTGGCTAAATAAATTTGATTTAAAATGAAAGGTAAAGTTTTTTTGTTGTTGTTTCTTTTCCCCACATACGATCATTCCCCAAAAAAGTAGTTTTTGATTTCTTGGAAGTAATGTCACATTTTTAAAAGAAGCTAAAGTAGAAGTAATAGCTTCACTTGATAGCTTATCTTGATCATCTTTGACTATAAAAGCAAAATTTTAAAAACTGTCTTACATATATAAAAGGGGGAGGTGCCTAGGATAAAATGCCCCAAAACATATAAAAAACAAAATTAAAAGACACCAATATGCTTTTGTTTTGGCTCGTATACTTTAAAGACACATGACACTCCAAATTACACGAACAGTTCATTGTTGCACTCCAGGAATTCCACTTCGAATTTTGCATGCCTTGTAGGGTACACTATAAGCCGCAGCATGTAGCCCTGTAGAGCGTGAAATCTAATGTGAATATGTAATCTAATGATTACAAATCAGGAAACAAAACAACATACATCAGCATGGGGAGGAGGTTAAAGGAATAAAACAATCGTGTTTCGACATTCATATGCCAGATCATTGTAAAACACCCTGAGATATTGTGTAACATAATTCATCTCTTTTTTGCCCTCAATGTAGACAACGAAAGAAAATAGTTCCCTCATTTCCAGTTTTTTATAATCTCTCAATAAGTTCAAAAGTCTTATTTTTTCTAACCATGAGCAATACACTGTATGAAGATATAGAATTCATTGATGGATACAGAAATAGTTGCAACTTTTTTCTTTCAATTTTAAGTACAGACTTCCGTAGTATTAAAAATATTGACAAGAGCCGGGTGCGGTGGCTCACGCCTGTAATCCTAGCACTCTGGGAGGCCGAGGCGGGTGGATTGTTTGAGCTCAGGAGTTCGAAACCAGCCTGAGCAAGAGGGAGACCCCGTCTCTACTAAAAAAAATAGAAAGAAATTATCTGGACAACTAAAAATATATAGAAAAAATTAGCCGGGCATGGTGGCTCATGCCTATAGTCCCAGCTACTCAGGAGGCTGAGGCAGGAGGATTGCTTGAGCCCAGGAGTTTGAGGTTGCTGTGAGCTAGGCTGACGCCACGGCACTCACTCTAGCCCGGGCAACAGAGTGAGACTCTGTCTCAAAAAAAAAAAAAAAACTTTTCTACGATACCTTCCATGTAGCAAGCACTTGATAAAATGAATTATTACTCTTTGAATAAAAAGTCTTTGGTGTCTTTTATGATTATATTAAGCTCTTCTTCACCACTGAATTGCATCACAGAAGGTACAAGACTGGAATTTTGTGGGTCTCCTTCACTGCTATATGCCCAAAGACAAGTACAGGGCCTGGCACATAGCAGGCACTCAATAAATGTTTGCTGAATGAATGAATATAGAGACTCTTACTTTAAAAACATAAGACAAAAATCACTCAAGCCAGGTGCAGTGGCTCATGCCTTGTAATTCCAGCACTTTGGGAGGCTAAGGCAGGAGGATCACTTGAACCCAGGAGTTCAACACCAGCCTAGGCACCATAGCAAGGACCCATCTCTACAAAAGATAAAAAACTTAGCTGGGCATGTTGGCATGAGTATTGTACTAGCTGCTGGGGAGGCTGAGGCAGGAGGGTCACTTAAGCCCAGAAATTCTAAGCCCTCTGCACTCCAACATAGGCAACAGAGTGAGATCTTGTCTCTTTCAAAAAAAAAATCACTCAGGCTGGGCCCAGTGGCTCAGGCCTATAATCCTAGCACTCTGGGAGGCCGAGGCGGGAGGATTGTTTGAGCTCAGGAGTTCGAAACCAGCCTGAGCAAGAAGGAGACCCCGTCTCTCCTAAAAAAAATAGAAAGAAATTATCTGGACAACTAAAAGTATATAGAAAAAATTAGCCGGGCATGGTGGCGCATGCCTGTAGTCCCAGCTACTCAGGAAGCTGAGGCAGGAGGATCGCTTGAGCCCAGGAGTTTGAGGTCGCTGTGAGCTAGGCTGACGCCACGGCACTCACTCTAGCCAGGGCAACAGAGTGAGACTCTGTCTCAAAAAAAAAAAAAAAAAAATCACTCAAAGTCCACAAAAATTTACTTAATAGCTCAGCATATAACTGATATTAAAATCTATATTCTGAGATATCCAAAAATAAAACATATACCTGTATTCACATATCATATCCATATATGTTTCTATATTAAACTTATCTGAACTAATGGAAATAAGGGTCATGGCTATCAAAAATTGAGGATAAACTAAAAATGATTTACAATTGGTTAAGTTTTGTTTCAGATTATTTTCTGTTATCTTCTCAATCATGTATAAATTAACCTTATAATGAAATTATTGAGAATGCACTCAATAAGTCATTTCCTTTAATAGTATCTTAACTTGCTTGCATACTACTGTAGTTCCCCTTATCTGTGATTTCACTTCCCACACTTTCATTTACCCCTGGTCAACCACAGTCTGAAAATATTAAATAGAAAATTCTCAAACAATTCATAAGTTTTAAATGCTACATCACAATGCTTACACCATTTACTTCACTTCATCTCATCACATAGGCATTTTATCACCTTAGATCATCACAAGAAGGGTAAGTACAGCACAGTAAGATATTTTGAACCTAGGTGACCAAGTGAGACCCTATGTCTAAAAAAAATTTTTTAAAAGTAGATATTTTGAGAAAAAAAGAAAGACCACATTCACATAACTTTTATTATAGTATATGGTTACAATTTTTCTATTTTTAGTTATTGTCATTAATCTCTTACTGTGTCTAATTTGTAAATTAAACTTTATCACATGTACGTATGTATAGGAAAAAACATAATATAGGGTTTGGTAATATCTGCAGTTTCAGGCATCTACTGTGGGTCTTAGAACATATCCCCACAGATAAGGAGGGACTACCACACTACAGAGCTCAATTAATCATCCCAACAGTTCATTGAGTTAGGTTAAGTAGCCTTTTTTTTTTTCTTTCTACTCTATTGCCAGGGCTAGAGTGCAGTATCATGATCATAGCTCACTGCAACCTCTAACTCCTGGACTCAAGTGATCCTCCTGCCTTAGTCTTCTGAGTAACTGCAATACAGGTATGCTCTTACTATGCTCAGCTAATTTTTCTTTCTTTCTTTTTTTTTTGTAGAAATGGGATATCACTGAGTTGCTCAGGCTGGTCTCCAAATTCTGGCCTCTGGCAATCCTCCTGCCTTGACTACCCAAAATGCTAGTATTACAGGTGTAAGCCACCATGCCCAGCCATATGTCAAGTAGCTTTTTATCTTCCTTTTAAGATTAAGCAACTAAAGCTAAGAGATCTGCACAAGGCCACTGCTAATAATAATAGTTAACAATTATTAAATGTTTACTTTGTACCAGGTACTAGGTTAAAATATTTAACTGCAAGCACTATTCCAAAGCTTTTACTATCTGATTTAATTATCACAACAACCCTCTAGGGTAGGTACTCTTATTATTCTACTTTAAGGATGAGGAAACTGAGGTACAAGGAGGTTAAGTAACTTCCCCAATGGTATTTTTTCACATCACTTGGACCTGGAACTCCCATACAATCTTCAAAGTAACACACATGTCCCAAAAATTTGAAACAGCACTTAATCAAAGAATAGACATACATGTCCAATAAGCATATGAAAAGATGTCCAGCGTAAGCCAGACAACATCTCCTTATATTTAGCATAAGCCTGGTGTTGAACATAAGCCAGGGAGGCTGAGGTTTGAGGATCCCTTGAACCCAGAAATTCAAGGTCAGCCTGGGCAATATAGCAAGACCCATCTCTAAAATAAAAGATGTTCAGCATCATGGGTCTTCAGGAAAATGCAAATTAAAACCACAGTTACATAACACTAAACATTTGTTAAAATGGAATACACACATACATAAATACACACACAAATCCTGACAATACAAAGTGCTGACAAGGCAGTAGGCATACAAAATGTAACAGACACTGGAAAATAGTTCGGCAGTTTCTTGTGAAGCTAAACATATGATACTCTTAAGACCCAGCAGTCCCATTCTGGGTATTTATCCAAGAAAAAAGAAAACATTTAGCATACTCACATAAAGACTTGTATGCAATTTTTCATAGTTTCTTTATTCAAATAGCCAAAAACCAGAAACAACAAAATCTTCATCAACAGATGAACACTGTGGTACAGCCATACAATGGAATAAAAAGAAACACATTACTGATATATACAACATGGATGAATCTTAAATGCATTTTGCTAAGTGAAGGAAGCCAGACTCAAAAGGTTACATATTGTATGATTCCATTTATATAACATTCTGGAAAAGCAAGACTACAGAGACAGAAAACAAAGTGGTTGTCAGGGGCAGGGGCTGGGGCTGAGAGGAGGGGAATGACTACAATGGGAAGTGGGAATATTCTGGGGTGATGGGATCTATTCTGTATCTTCACTGTGATGATCATTACACAACACGTTTGTCAAAATGCATTTAACTATACATCTGAAAAGGATGAATTCTACTGTATATAAATCATACTTCAGGCTGGGCACAGTGGCTCATGCCTGTAATCCTAGCACTCTGGGAGGCCGAGGTGGAAGGATTGCTTGAGGCCAGGAGTTCAAGACCAGCCTGGGCAAGAGCAAGACCCCGTCTCTACAAAAAATAGAAAAATTAGCCAGGCATGGTGGTGCATGCCTATACTCCCAGCTACTTGGGAGGCAGGATTGCTTTAGCCCAGGCATTTGAAGTTGCAGTGAGCTACAATGTCTCCACTGCACTCTAGCCAGGGCAACAGAGTGAGACCCTGTCTCAAAAAAAAAAACACAAAAATCCCTAAGTAAGCTTCAAAAAAAATACATAGCTTAATCAAGATTCCTTTGTAGTGTTTCCTATACTTATTGTCTCAAATTCCTTTTCCTTCAATAGGTTTTGTGTTGTAAAACATAAGATACAAAAAGAAAAGGGCATATACACAAGTCGTAAGTATGCCACTTAATGAATTATTACAGTGTGAATATATCCATGTAAGGACAACCCAGATCAAGAATGGGACCATACTAGCCTCCTAGAAGTCCCTTTCCTATACTCCCAAAATCACTATCTGCCCCTCCTTTTCAGATACAACCAACTACTCTTCTGACTTCTAACATGTATTTAGTTTTGACTCGTTTTTGAACTTCATACAAATGAAATCATACAGCATGCATTGTTTTGTGTCTAGCTTCTTCTTTCAATATTATGCTTGTATGGAAGCATATTCACCCATATTGTTGTGTGTGGCAGGGAGCTATTCATTTTCAGTGCAGCATAGTATTTCATTTATGATTATACCATATATTAGTTATACATTCTAGTACTGGCAAACATCTGGGTTGTTTATGCTTTTTGGCCATTAGGAATATGGCAGATATACAAAAATATATATGTTGATATATACCCTGAAATGGAACTGTTAGATCCCATGATATGCAGATGTTTAGCTTTATACACAACCACCCAACTAGTTCTCCCAAGTAGTTTTACCAGTTTACACCACCACCAGCAGTATATTAGAGTCCCAGTTGCTGTCCTCACATACAAGTTATCCAAGACTCTAGCTCAATGTCTAATCAACATCACAAAATGCAAGAGGTCTCAAACTGAATTCCTGATGTCTCCCCACAACCACAGTGAAAAATGCTCCAACCACAGCCTTCCCCCACCGTAGTCAATGCCAGCTCCATCCTTTCTGTTGGTTCAGCCAAAATAAGTCTCCTTGACTTCTCTTCTTCACCTCATCTTTAATTTATCAGAAAATCCTGTTTGTTCTATCTATATCCAGATTCTCACAACTCCTCCCAAACTCCAATGATACTACCCTGTCCCAAGCCACCAGCATCTATCATCTAAATGACTGAAATAACCTCCAAATGTGTCTCCTTGCTCCATCATATACAACCCTACAGTTATTCTCAAAAGTGCAGCCATGTCATATCATGTCACTTCTCTGCTCTAAACCTGCAATAGCTCCCAACTTAACTCCAAGTAAAAGCCAGAATCTTTAAAATGGCTTACAAGGTCCCTTAATTTTCTGTTCCCCTTAACCCCCCAAAAAAAACCTCCTTCTCTCGTCAACACAGCCGCATAGGTCTTGCTGCTATTCTTTGAACAGACCAGGCCCTCTCTGGTTTTGAAGCTTTTTCTTTGGCTTTTCCCTCCACCTGAAATGCTCCTCCTTAGACATTAACTTGCTAAATCCTTCATCTTTCCAAGTCTTTACTCAAGCATCATCCTCTCAATAAACCTTACCACACCCATCCTGTTAAATACTGCACACACTCCACCTCTCCACTTCTTTGTCCCGCTCTCCTTCTTACATCTTCCCTTTGTATCAATCATTTTCTAATACCTCACTGTATAACTTACTTTTTTCATTTTGTTTATTGTCTTTCTCCCCACCACTCTCCAACTACTGTAAACTGCAGGATATAGATCTTTTGTTTTATTCGCTGATGTATACTAAACAAGTAGGAGGCACATAGCTGGCATTCAAATATTCCCTGTAAGAATTAATAAATGTCCTCTTAATCAGCAGAACAAAATAATTAAATTCTTACTACTGCTGCAACCTACAGATATTGTCTTTCTGCAAGTCCTCATAATGTGGACTATTTTAAATTCCCAGGCTTAAATAATTAAGTGATGACAACGCAGGGAAGTAATTAAGTAATTAAGAAAGGGCAGAGATTGAAACACCTCTTTCTGGGAAAGCAGAGGAAATTCCTAAGAGACAATATGAACCTTTTGGCCCCACAGTCACACCACTAGTAGGCTTGTCAGGTAGTTGTGGCACCGCTTACTAGAGTCACTGAACCAGTTTTGGCTGTAGACGGTTTTGCACAATTTTCTGGTCATCTTTAAAAAGCTGACCTCCAATATTTGCTTTCCTTTAAGTAAACAGCAAAATTCAATTCTACACTCCTCGGTCACTCATGGTCTTTACAAAAGAAAGGAGTGTCCAGCATGTTTCACTAAAACCCTGGTCTCTGTAAGGGATCCCCTTCTTTTCCCTACTATCCAACTGTGGAGAAGAGGTGCCTGGTTCAGCCCTTCCACATCCCCAGCCTCTGCCCGAGAGCCAAAGGCCCCACTCCCCAGGACTTGGCTGTCACTAGTCAAGTGATTATTAGAAAGAGATTATGGCAGGTCAGGGAGAACACCGGGCAGCGCAATGAAGCAGTCAGAGTCCAGGAATGTCACTGCGGCCGCCTGCTTCCGACCTGCACGCGATCCTGCCCCTGCCGCGGCGAGCACAACCAGATCTTCTTGCCAGACACCTACCTCCTGCCAGAAAGGAACGCAGCCAGTAGAAGTCTCGGCGGGCGGTGGGCCCTCCGGCCCCTGCCGCCTGAGGCATCGCGGAAGAGGGGTCAGCCGCTGCCAGGGCCGCGGCCGCCGCCGCCATAAGGACCAGGGCCGCCTCGGGAGCCTCAGCCACAAACTTAACTAACCGCCGGCTGGGATCATAGCCAGGGCAGCCAGTGATAAGAGGCCGTCCGCCTCGCCGGCGTGGCCGAATGACACCCGGCGCCGCGACGCAGGCTGATGGCGTACGCCAGGGGCGGGGCCTGGGTCACCGCCCACAGGAGCCGGGGCGGGGCCGGGGCGCGGAAGCGGGAGTCTTTCGGGCTCTTAGCCTCCCCCATGCGGCCACAGCACGAGTCCCTACTGCCCGCTTCCCTGCTCTGGCCCCTCTGTTCAGGCAGAATAAGGAAAGGGTGGCCAGCGAAAAGGTCTTACCAAAACCCACTACCTTACAAAGCTCACCTCCGTCCATTGACCTGTAGTGACCATTGACCTGTAACCGCCCATAAGGCTGTCTTCCGACGCCCCCCTAGGATGCATCCTTTCCAGAACTAATATTTGGCTCTTCACCTTTCCAGTCATCCTTCAACTTGCTCCCATCTCCAACTAAATCAGCTCTGCCTTCTCAGAGCTCCTCAGTAAACCTCAGTTATTGCCTCTCTGATCACCCTGCGCACACCACAAAGCTTCCACTCCACCCCTACCATTTCTGCCAAAAAAATATTGCTAATATTCTTCCTTTGGGACCCTACAAATTACACAAATACTTCTGCCTCGTCAGGCCCTTCTGAATCTGTTTGTGTCTTCAGCTTAATTCCTTTTTCTTTTTTCATGACACAAAGTCTCCCTGTGTTGCCCGGGCTAGAGTGCCGTGGCGTCAGCCTAGCTCAAGCAACCTCAAACTCCTGAGCTCAAGCGATCCTCCCACCTTGGCCTCCTGGAGTGCTAGAATTACAGGCATGAACCTCCTTGCCCTCCCGGCCTTCAGCTTAGTTCTTAAATTCCACTGAGCATTACTTCCTACCAAGTCCCTGCCCTACACTCCCATGAACATCCCAGTTTCTTCTCCGCGGCTTCTCCACAGCCCTGACAGTATTCCAAGATTATTTGTTAATCACCCCTTACCATTCTCTTACTGTAGCCCCTTATCACTTCCAACCTGGGCAAAACTCATTTTTATTCCTTATAACCAAAATTATTCTGAACTTTTATCCTCTCTTTCAGAAATTATCTTTTATAATTGTCCTCAATTCCAACCTTCCCTGGTTTCTTTTTCTTTCTATGCACGTGCCTCTGTCACACTGAGTTGCTAAATGATGAGTTACTAATGACGCGTCCAGATTTCAAATTTATTTTTCCCTCTCAACTTTCAGTTTCTACCAGAAAATACAGAACCATTTATTTACATCATTATTTATATTTTACATGTCTAATCTGAAGAATTACAAAGTTCCAGCCAGGTGTGGTGGCTCACACCTGTAATCCTAGCACTCTGGGAGGCTGAGGCGGGAGGATCACTTGAAGTCAGGAGTCTGAGATCAGTATGAACAAGAGCGACACCCCATCTCTACTAAAAGTAGAAAAAAATTAGCCTGGTATGGCGGTGGGCGCCTGTAGTCCCAGCTACTCCGGAGGCTGAGGCAGGAAGCTTGCTTGAGCCCAGGAGTTTGAAGTTGCTGTGAACTAGGCTGACACCACAGCACTCTAGCCCAGGTGACAGAGTGAGACTCTGTCTCAAAAAAATAACAATAATAATAAATAAATAAAACAAAGTTCCCTAGGGTGGAGATGGTTGCACAATATAATTAATGCCACTGAATGTATACTTAAAAATGTTTAAAATGGGCCGGGCGCGGTGGCTCACGCCTGTAATCCTAGCACTCTGGGAGGCCGAGGCGGGAGGATTGCTTGAGGTCAGGAGTTCGATACCAGCCTGAACAAGAGCGAGACCCCATCTCTACTAAAAAAATAGAAAAAAATTATCTGGACAACTAAAAATATATAGAAAAAATTAGCCGGGCATGGTGGCTCATGCCTGTAGTCCCAGCTACTCAGGAGGCTGAGGCAGGAGG